CATTGCTATTAGGTTGGGGGCCATTGCTTGTAGGTTGGAGGCCATTGCTTGTAGGTTGGAGGCCATGGCTTGTAGGTTGGAGGCCATTGCTTGTAGCCCTCTTGGCCCGAGACCTCCAGGTTTTGGCCACGGTGAGGGTGGATCCCCCCCAACACGGGCCCTGTCATCCCTTCGCTACTGGATGGCCATGGACGATTCGGACCTTGACAAAGGTCTCTCTGGAATCCTTCAAGATTTTTCTCTGTGGGGCGACCACAACGCCTTCCTGCCGGATCGACCGAGCCTCCTCGTTCAAGACTTGCAATTGAAGGTTCCCTCTGACCTTTTCACCTTCGAAGGAACTCACTTGGTAGCTGCTGGTCGAGGAGTGGCGGAATTCAAGATGGATTCTGTATGGATTGGCGGTGACTCACCTATGGCCCACAAGATCCAGTTGCTGTGGCCATCGAACACTAAGCCTGTCACGCACAACCTGGCCTTGCAAGGCTTCATGGACAAGTGTTTGCTGTGGAACGTTGAGTTGCTGTATCCCCCTCAGAACCAAGGGGCGGATGTTGCAGTTGATGAGCGTACATGCATCCTACCACTGCGAAAAGGGAAGACAGGTCCCATCCATGCATTGCACCTGTTTGGAGGAGCTTGGGGAGGCTGGTCTTTCGCGGGCCAGATTCTTTCTGAAATGGGAGTGGAGGTACTTTCAGGAGCAGTGGAGCTTGATTTTGCTGCAGCACGTACTTATGCCATTTCACATCGATGCCCTTTGCTTACAACTGGTGAAGATGACCCTCTTCCTCCATTGGCACTGCACTCCTTTCCTGAGGGATGGTGCTTATGGGCGGATGTCATGGACTCCTCTTGGTGGGAAGCTGCCGCTGTTTGGGGCCCTGAGATTGTCACGATATCAGCACCATGTCCACCGTGGAGTGGAGCCGCAGCTCAACGTGGATTGCATTCTTTGGATGGCCAGGTGCTGTTTAGAAGTATTGCTCTCTGCAAACTGCTGAGGCCCAAGCTAATCCTGATTGAACAAGTTGCAGTGCAGCCTTTCATGCCCATCCACATCGAAAATGGATTCAGAAAGCGCTATGGTTTGCTGGATACCAGTTACGCTTCTCTCATGTCATTGAGCTGGGGGATGTTATGCCGGTCAGGCGAGCCAGATGGTTGGGCATTGCCTACTTCATCCATGAGTTTGATGTGAAATTTCCTCCCTTGTCCTCTTGTAACATTGAGCGAACGGTCACTTTGGAGGAGTTGGATTGCATTCTCAGTTGGCCACCTCCCATTCAGCAACGATTGGTGGTTCCGGAGGAAGCTTTGCGTCAAGCCCAACAGATTCGCCTGGATAGAGGCAATAAGCAGGCTCGCAGATGCTCAGCAGATGAAGCTGCCCATTCGCATGAATTTCAGCCTCAAGACAAATGCTTGCCCACCTTCATGGCTCAGTATGGCAGCACCGGCTGCATGTTGAGCTGCTTGAGAGAAAGGGATACTTTGCTCACTGGCTGAAAGAAGCTGAGGATTTGGGATCACGCTTTTGGCACCCGGCTGAGATTGCTCTGATTCATGGTGCTTGGAGTGGCTTCTGGACCTCCGCCAACTTTGAATCTGAATGGAAAGGTTTTGAGAATCAGATTGCCATTCCCCACGCCTTATGGCTGCTCACCCAAGCTGTCAATATGCTTGAGAGTAGGGATCCTCAATTGGAATGGCCTGAGGTTTGGCGATACTTTGATGAGCATCGTATGTTGGCATCAGCCATGCGGTCACAGACTTTTTCAGCTGGCACCATGTGGATGCAGTTGCATACCTCATTCACTATGAAGTCAGAGGTGGTGGACCAGCTCTTTGAGGAGGGTTTGGATTGTCTTCCCAAGGGGCAGTGTTGGATCCCTGACTTTGGCCTCACCAAGCTCCAGGAATACATGGGTTCCAGAGGGTGCATCCTGGAAATCCATTGCCTTCAGCCTGCAGCGCATCCTAGGGCGCCGCCGGTGTCAGATGAACCTCTGTCTGCTACCCTGCCTATGCGTGTGATGCTGCGATGTCGAGTGGTCTTCACTACAGGCAGCAAACTCTTTGCTGCGGAGGCCAACACACCTGTGGATGCCATTTTGGCACTATGGAAGGGTTGCCTACGCCATGAAACTGATTCATGGCAGTTGGAGGATCAGGATCGCTTTTTCCCACTGCCTGACATTCC